CGATTGATGTGAGTTTATGACCCTGGGTTTCAGGCTTTTGTTTCACGAGTTTGTTTCATATATATATATATATATATATATATATATATATATGTGTGTGTGTGTGTGTGAAAAGTGTGTGTATATAAATATAAATATATATATATATATATATATATATATATATATATATAATTATTTATTTACATATTATATGCGCGGTACTTATTAGAAAGCGCTCAATATCAGAGATAGAGCTAACATATTTGGTTCGATTGATGTGAGTTTATGACCCTGGGTTTCAGGTTTTGTTTCACGAGTTTGTTTGACGATCGCAAAAGCGTGAAACCCAGGGTTACAAACTCACATCAATCCAACCAAATAATATATATATATATATATATATATATATATATATATATATATATATGTGTGTGTGTGTGTGTGTGTGTGTGTATATCGTAAGTATATAAGTATATATATATATATATGTATACATCATATGTGTATATATATATACATACATCAAAAAGTAGCTATATATATATATACAGCTGCACATATTTGCATTTGTCATGGTGATGTTTTACAAAGTATTCGTTTTTAGCTTTTGATTTTTACGTAACGTAGCAAATATTTGTTTTCGTGTATGTATTTTGTGATAACTTCTGTGTATATATATTATTAGATAATTTAGACGTATTATGTTTATTTATTTTACTTTTAATCCTTTTGAATTAATTTCTTGGTGGGTGTAGAAAATTGATTAAAAAAAATTCAAAATTTTCTTTCAAATAATTTTCATTTTCCCAAGTACTTTTAATCTCTTATCAGGGGATATATATCTATGGATGTGGTATACGTTAACACCGTAAATTCAAAATATTTTTTAACCGCTATGCAGGGGGCGGTAACTTATGTGAATTTAAAAAAATGTTCTAAATAGACTATATTACGTTTAAATTATTTAACCAAATATGCTTGAATGAAAATATGCTGCCGATATATATATATATATATATATATATATATATATATATATATATATATATGTGTATGTGTGTGTGTGTGTGTGTGTGTGTGTGTGTGTGTGTGTGTGTGTGTGTGTGTGTGTGCGCGTTTTTGTTGCGTGCGTGCGTGCGTGTGAGTGTGGAGCGATTAAACAGTTTAATGTTTTTCGAATCAATTCATAGATTTCGTTGGCAGCTGACACTTTCGCAAATAAGTCTCCTGAGGCTAAAAATAATGCCTTATAGCTGCAAATTCCCACGGGCATATGTACATTTTCAGGAGAGTGGCAGAAAAGAAAAAAAAAATTTAGACTGATTTAGGATTAGCTGAAAAAAGGCTGATTTAGGAAAACCTAAAAAGTAAGATCCTAACATATCCGTCGTTAATAAATCAAGGCAGGTGTGTCCGTTATGAAATAAAAACAGAAAAAAATCCTTGTCGCATTTCTCTATTTGCTTTTGTGTTCTCTATTACCATCTTTTTTCCAAGTAAGATATTATTTTAATTTCTTTTCCAGGTAAATCAAGTTTTCCTAAATTTAAAACTTTTCTTCCTATTGGACTACGTAAGTAAAGTTGTTTGTGCATTTATATTACTTATCTTTATACAACTGCCATATAGAATAGCTTCCTTTTCAGTTTCAACAGAGAAATTTGGACAGTTTCCACTACACCAAAATACCCTTCTCTTCATCTAATTGTAGTCCGTCTCCTCTTTCATTTTTTCTCCTTTTCCGTATATGATTTTCTGATTGTCGCTTATGAAATCTCTTGTTTTTCCATTTTTTTTCACATGCTCCTAGGATGATAAGATTCAGCCTTTTGTATTCACTGTTATTTTCAAACTATCTGTGTACCTAAAATATCGTAAATTTCCATGTCCCAATTATGAGTCTATATTTGTTTCAAACAATTACTGAATGACACTTCCAAGGGAGATAACACATTTCGAACTATTATCTGACCTTTTCTGGTTGGGAATCAACATCATTACTTCCGTCTTACCCACGGTGATTTTATCGATACAACAATTATAGATAACTTCTCATTAACCTTCGATTACTTTCATGCTTTGATAAGTTTTATATTTCTTCTTGAAGATTGATACTTAACCGCTTAGTCTACATTACAATTTGGGTGGAGGAATTGATTTAGTCCTCGACAATCCGACAGAAAATACTCGTGTATATATCACAAGCACTAGAATATTATTTTTTTAAGTTTAATGCATATGTCCCACTAGTGTACGATTGCAAAAATTTCCTTCTTGAATTATATTATGCCAAACGACTCGAGCCAAATTATATTATATTATGTATATATAAAGTTTATATTATATATATATATTTGGTTGGATTGATGTGAGTTTGTAACCCTGGGTTTCACGCTTTTGCGATCGTCAGACAGCGTGAAACCCAGGGTTACAAACTCACATCAATCTAACTAAATATGTTAGCTCTATCTCTGATATTGAGCGCTTTCTTATAAGTACCGCGCATATAACATATAAA